TGGAGATACAGGCTGTGAGTGTGTGCAGGGGTGTGTCACAGTGTCTCACACTGAAGAGCACCAGACTGGCTGGAGATACAGGGTGTAAGTGTGCGCAGTGGTGTGTCACAGTGTCTCACACTGAAGAGCACCAGCCTGGGTGGAGATACGGGCTGTGAGTGTGTGCAGGGGTGTGTCACAGTGTCTCACACTGAAGAGCACCAGCCTGGCTGGAGATACAGGCTGTGAGTGAGAACAGGGGTGTATCACAGTATCTCACACTGAAGAACACCAGACTGGCTGGATACAGGCTTCGAGTGTGCGCAGGGGTGTGTCAGAGAGTGTCCCACACTGCAGTGCACCAGACACACACACACTGGCCCACTACAGGAGCTCAAACACAGTGACACACTCAGACACCAGAGCTGATAGATCTGTGCATGTGTGCATCGCTTCAGTCTGCAGCTGGGACTGCCGTCTGGCAGCTCTCACAGCTAATGAGCTAACGAGCACCCCCCTAATCATCTGAACGATTTCCTGTTCATGAACTACCCCTCCTTAATAACAATAATCCATCTCTCTTGAATCCCTCCGTCTGGAGTCAAAGCTGTTGTTGAAATCATCACTGATTTCAGTTAATAAATTACAGCTGAGAACAAATCCAATCAGGGAGTTTTGGACCAGACAGGATGGCGTCTGTAGAGGCTCTCGTCGTCTCATTCATGAAACAGCTGAGCCATGAGCTACTGATACTGCTACCTGTTACAGTTACCTGTGTTACAGCATCCTGACAAGTGAGCTGTGCTGAAGGGCTTGCTCTTGTCCGTACCCTTTCTGATTTAATTTTAGAGCAGCTGAGTGGCTGGAGCATTGTGTTCAATTCCTGGGGTGCTATCTGTGTGGAGTTTGTATGTTCTGCCAGTGTTTGTGTGAGCTTCCTGGTGCTCCACTTTCCTCCCACAGTCATAAAAGGCATACTGGTAGGTTAAATGACTTCTGGGAAAGTTGGCCCTGGTGTGCGTGTGTGTCCTGTGATTGACCGATTGTCCAGGGTGTCCTGCCTTGGGCACATTGCTTGCTGGGATAGGGGCTGGCTCCCCCACGACTTGGATGAAGCATTGAAAATGGGTGGATGATGTTTTTGTTTTAATGTACAATGAGACAGGATATTCTGAAACAGTCTACAGTGACAGATGTTTACAGTGTGCACAGTGTGACAGGAAAATACGTTTTCAAAAAGCCTACCAACCGTTTCCAAATACAGAAGTACTAAACTAAAACAAAATATGAAAAACTCAAAATTCTTGAATTGGCTATTAACAACCAAAGACAACCAAAACCTGCGCTGACACATCAATCAGCCTCAGGACAGCACATCTAAAACAACAGTACCTTACAACACAAACTGGAATGCAACCCTAAAGAGATCATACACACTTGCCAAGAATCTGACCAGGGTACGAAACAGCAAAGAGAAACAGACCCCTGTTGAAGTACAGGCTCAGTGACCACAGCCTGGCCATAGAAACTGGACACAGACAGACCTGACTGTCCAGAGAGGACAGGCTCAGTGACCACAGCCTGGCCATAGAAACTGGACACAGACAGACCTGACTGTCCAGAGAGGACAGGCTGTACTCCCACTGCCAGCAGGGCGAAGCAGAGACAGAGATACACTTTCTGCTGCACTCTGTGAGAAATACTCTGGGATCAGACAAACATTCTTCCCTAAAATCTAATCCCAGAATTCCCACACCTGCCAGAATCAGATCCTACTGGGAGAGGAAACTCAATAGAGCTGCTCCCCAGTATGTGATCTCCTCTCACTGCCTGAGGACACAATGTTTTATATTGTAAATATCTAGTAATGATGTTTCTACATCATGTCGGGTTAATTGTTACTGCTTTGGCAGCACTGTAATTAATCAGTCATGCCAATGGAGCTCTTGAATTACATTTTAGAGCGACGGAGGAGAGAGAGGAGGTGGAGAGAGGGATCGCTGTGGCTCTTCAGTGCAGGAGGAGATCAGTCACTGGGCCGATGTAGGCGCCCCGTCTGTGTCTTCTCGCTTTGACACGGGCAACGTGGAGAATGAGCAGCCCAAACCCCTGATCTCACAGCCTCCCCGCCCGAACAGGAGCTCTACCTCATCAGGACGTGACGAAGGAGGCGCTAGAGGGGCTGGATGAATTAACGCCATCACCGTCCCCCGGCGTCCAGGATCCCAGTGGGACGCTGCTGGAGCGGGCGGTCAGGCGCCTGGGGGGGGGAAGACCCCGAGTCCAGCTGCCATGCAGACGTTAGGGTGCTGCTGGGAGGGCCGGCAGCACCCCACTCCTCTGCCCAATCCGCTTGAGTGCTCCGAGGCCTGAATGCGACTTGGCTGACCTCCTGTCTCTCTCACTCCGTCTGTTCCAGTTCCAGTTTCCAGTCACAGACCGGGGCGACGCGAGCCCCCCAGCCCCGATTCACCGTGGGACCCCCTTCCTGCAGCCGCTCGCTCAGAATGCGCCCCTCTATCTGCTGAGCCTGAGTCTGTGTCCCCTCTCTGCCCCCCCCCCCCCCCCCTCGTCTCGCTGGCCCTGTGATGACGTCGCCCCCTCACCGTACCTTTCTCCTGTTCGCCCCACGCAGTGAAACTGGGCAACTTCCCCCCCCCCCCTGCTGTCGTCTCGCTGGCCCTCCCACCTGGGTGATGTCACCATGCGCACCCCCCCCCTCCATCTCCCCAGGGGGCTGAGCACCGACAGCTAGTCTGAGGCGCGATGGGGCGGCGAGCCGCCGAGCCCACCCATCCTGTGCCAGTGCTGGGCCTCCCATTGGCACCCGGGAGGGGCTGGAATGCTGGGAGTGAGGTGAAAGGTCAGACAGGCCAGGTGTGTGCAGAGGAGCGTCAGCGGAGCCTCGCGCTGTCTCCACGGCGATGGGGCTCCCTGACGTTCCCGGGGCTGTGCAGCGTGGCCGTGCAGACGTCGCCCGGCCTCCGGGGGCAGCTGCCCACCTCCAAGAGGGCGAGATGCCCCAACACAGGAAGTGCATCCCAGCCAGCCAGTCACAGTGCTCAAAGGAGAAAAGGGGGAGCTACCAGGGCCAGAGAGGGAGGAGTGACCTCGAGTGACTCAGGAAGAGGCGCTGCTTATGATGTCAAAGGCAGAGGGGTTTCCCGCAACCGGGGGGGCGGGGCTTTGAATGACATCATTGAGCACGCAGACTACATGGAGACAGTGGGAGGAGCCCACAGAAATAGCAATACCGCTGGAGTTTCTCAGCAACCGGAGGGAGGGGCTTCCGAGGAAGTGGGCGTGGCCTCGCGGGAGAAAGGGAGGCGGGGCTCCAGGTATGCCAATGGGAGTGTGGTTGCCCCAGAGACAGTGGGAGGGGTCTGTAGAGATGGCAGTGACGAGGCTGTAGAGAAAGTGGGTGTGGCCAATGCCAGCAAAGAGAACCAGACGGGGAAGCTGAGAACAGGGTGCAATAAAAGTGGGCATCACAGCGTCACAGTGTCGAGGAGCAAAGAGCCAGAGCTCCCCAAGAAAGAACCCTCCACTCACCCTGCAGACTGCCCCCCCAGACACCCCCCCGCTGTACCCCCCCGCTGCTGCACACAGTGTGGCAGACGAAAGTCTGTGGCTCCCCCCTGCCTGGCCACACACTGCCGGAGGAGGCGGAGCAGGGGGAATCAGAGTGCCCCTTCAGTCCCTACATGCAACGCAGACTGTCCCCCTAAAGACATCCCCTCCAGGGAATTGGGGACCTCCCCCCAAAGACATCCTGTCCCCCCACCGCCAGCCCCCCATCCCTCACCCTCCGGCTCCAGCCACAGAATCCACAGTGCCAAAGGTTCCCAGGGCGACCCGCTCCGGGCCAGCTCTGCTCCCCCAAAGCCCACAAGCACAGGTTCCCCAGCCCCAGATGCCCACCCTACCCATGCCGGGCCTCCCCAGCCCCCCTCGCCCCTGCGGAACGGGGCCCCTGCGGGCCTGTCGGGGCGCCTGCTGCGAGTGGAGGAAAGCCTGCTGTCCAACCAGGAGAAGATCCGAGTGCTGCTCAACGTCATCCAGGACCTGGAGAGGAGCAAGGCCCTGAGCGAGGGGTGAGTGAGAGTGAGTGAGTGTGAGAGTGTGAGTCTGAGTGAGAGTGA